TAATGGATTTACAGTCAAATAGTCAAGTATGAACGACATCATGAAAATTTTTAAGCTTATCAAGCATTATTATATGATTAGATAAATGTTTTCCTCATTAACAATGTTTTGAAAGGAAAAATATGTTGTTATCTACTATGTACATATTATTTTTATGCAATAGTAGAGTCAATAGAATATTTATATGGAAGCATGAAGCATGACAAAGTATAGGATCTTAAATTAAAACTCAATGAATATCAAATTAAGAAAAGTTGACTATGAAATGATATGACACGTGCTTTGCATGTGGGCTAAAAGGGACCTCTATGAAATTCGAGGCAAAATGAACCTCTATGAAATTCGAGGCAAAAGGGACCTCCAGGAAATTCAATAGTGATAATATCGAATTTACCTGGACTCCATTGAACATTCTTATGAATGTTAACTTTATGAGAAATGATAATCAAAGCCCTTAGAAGACTAATTATGATATTTTGTACAGGCCTCAAATGATACAAAAGATAAATATGATTTTTATGTTTTGCAAATTATTTCAGATTTGATTCGGTTAAGATTTCAATTATGTTAATTCCATTAATCTTGCATTTATTTCTTATTTAAATTGCATAACTTTATGAGCTTCAAAGCTCACCAGATTTTATTGTCTGTTGTTACAGGAAGGGGCAAGGATAAAGAGGAAGTTAAATAGCCTTAGGTCATTATAAAACTTTATATTTTGTTGTATACCTTGTATATGAGTCTACAGTAGAGGTATGTAGACTGTTTATTACTGTAACAATTTGGAATTCATAGGGCTTTGTATTTGTTCATATATGAATAAAATGATATATTTTGGATACTTTCCATACAATGAGGAATATATCAAACAATGGCTAAAAATAGAATTATGATGATGAGTTTTAAATTTCATGATTGTTGTTTCTCTATTGCATCCTACGTTGTCACGAGGGGGGAGGGGATGTGAGGTATAATACCTCCTTAATGCAATTGGCATTGTAAAGTCATCAATTGGAAATTGGCAGATCTCTAGCCATATTTGTACTTTATGTTTTCCTCATGTGGACTTGAAATTGAGTCAACATCTTGGCCACATGTTGGCTGTGATCCATGCTCTAACTCCTATCTTTTCCTCCTTATGTAAACTTGAAAATTCTCATTAGCAAGTTATGAAGCCACAAGAAGAGCAGGCATGGGTGAAGAAATATTTGTGGGCTGGACTGACGACTGAACATGTACAGGAGTGGACACGTTTTGCATAGTCTTTGGGCAAAAGTACGGGTTGAGAAGAACTTGGCGACTCTAAGTGGGTGAAGGGAACAGACTCGAGAAAGAACTCCGAAATTTAATGTTAATTCATGCTCTCCCCCTGAACATAAGACTTGGGATAGCATGACACATGTTCAAAGAATGAGATATCCATAGTGGTGTAAAATATTTTGTTGGTTGGAGAAAATAACATTTGTCCTTAAAAAAGTAAACTTATTGATTCTAGGATCAAATTTGCTACGGTGTTGAGATACAAATGAACAAGTATTATGCAACCAAATACCTTGAGTGGTAAATCAGATGAAGCTACACAGGTGTAAGGAAAATTTGACAGAAGAAGCTAACATGGATATTGAAAATTAAGGATATTGGATGGCATACACTTGATCCAATAGGTAGCTATGAGAATGATTTTCCCTCAAAAATAATTTGGAATATTAGAGGAAAACATAAGATACCGGACAACCTCCAAGAGATGTCTATTCTTACATTCAGTCACTCCATTTTGTTGAGGGGTGTCAACACAAGAACTTATGTAGATAATATAATGATTTTGAAGATAGGTATTGAGACTACAAGTGAAGTATTCACTAGCCTTGTCTGAATTGAGTATATGAATTCTAGAGTTGAATTGATTTTAAATCATAAGATTGAAAGTTTGAAAAATTTACCTGACCTCAGACTTTTCTTTCATAAGAAAAATGCAAGTTACCCTTGTATGATCATCAACAAATGTCATAAATCATCGAGTGCCATAAATATTTTTTATCCTTGAGGGACCCCACACACCACTATGAATCAAAGAAAAGGTAGTTGAAGGTTTATATGGAATTTGAAAATATATTGTTCGAGTATGTTTTGCAATCTGACAAGTTTCGTAATGAGAAGATATTGGACTTTTATTAATAAATAATTTGAGAAACAATTTTGCAGGATACCAAAAAAAAAGGACAACCATGATGATAGTGCAATAATATATTTTCACTATCTTTATTAATACTGGATTTGGACACATAATGGACACAACTTGCTTGAGAAATTTAGTTTGAGGATCTATCACATGGCAGGAGACAGAGCACAGTTTGGCAATGCCAATCACCTTCCCCAATTTCAAGTCCTGAAAAGCACACAAGTTTGAATAAAATTTAGTAACACATTGAAGGTCACAAGCTAATTTGCTAATGGATGAAAGATTATAATCCAAGTTTGAAACATGGAGGACAAAGTTGAGATACAACTCTTTAGTAAGTTGGATGAAACATGTTCCAACAATTTTAGAATTTGAATCATTAGCAATACGGACAGACAAGTGACCACTACTTGGCTTGTAATTTTGGAGAAAGGCAACATCTTCTATCCCATGATTAGAAGTACCTGGGTAGAATATCCACGACCTCATTTCTCCTCTATTAGTAGTAAAGACAGTATGTGTATTTGTTTCAGCAACCAAAATTTCCAGTAATGCTACCACTGCCAACTTAACTAAATAGTTTCTGCAGCAAATCCATCTGCTTTTTTTCTAAATGGGTTAGGCTCAGGAATAGGAGCACTCTCAGAGTTAGAAGCCATATGTGCTTTGTTGTCTCTATCAAACTATGGCTTTGGTTTCCAATCAGCTGGTTTGCCATGGAGTTTCTAGCAAGTCTCCTTGTAATGACCCGGTTTCTTACAATAATCACACAAAGGCCATTCCCTTTTGTGACGATCTCCACCATTATTGTTAGATGATTGGATAACAAGGGCAGATGCATCCAACGTTGATGTGGTTTGTTCCTTAGGTCTTATCATCACCTTCTTTCTACTTTATTCATGTCTAACCTCTGAGAAAGTCTTTTTCAGATTGGACAGTGATTTAGTGCCCATGATTCAACCTCAAACATCATCCAACTCCCTATTTAGTCCAAAGAAAAAAATTTTGAATAGCCTTTTTTTGTTTTACAATATGTTTGTACATTACTATATCCAAAAGTGAGTTTTAAATAAGTCAAGTTGTTGCCAATACCATATAAGTGTGTTGTAATACTGAGTAATAGACTCCTTTCCTTGGCGGAAGTCTTGAAGTACAAATTCAACTCAAAACAGGTCTGAAGTATTTTCAGAATTGGAGTCAGCCTCTTTGGTTGCATCCCATATTTTTTTATGGTCCCAAATAGCAATAAGTTTTCACCCATGTCATTGCTCATGGAATTGATTAGCCATGACATGAAAATACTATTTCAATCTTCCACTTTCTCGAACTCGGATATGTAATCTCTAGCATGGTTGGTCCACACATGATATACTCGAAATGACCAACAACAAAGATTGTGACCATTGCAAATAATTATGACCATTTAATTTGTGTCATGTGATGAGAATAGGAAAAAAATCACTACTACCAAGGTTTGGAATTTCTGAATTGCTTCCTAATTTTGGTGTCTTGATACCGAATGTTTGTGACGAGTTCATTCCGTAGTGAGAAGAAGATGATGGGGGAGAAAAGTGAATAAGGTTGTTGGATATATATAAGAAGAAAGCCAGGATGAACATTGACCAGAGAAAATCGGCCTGAGAAATAGAAGATATGGCCAAAAAAATCAGCTAGAAGCGGCCTGAAAAGGATTAGGATTCAAAGAACTGGCTCTGATAACATGAAGAATTTCTTAATTCATTATTCTTCTTGCAAAAAAACTTGTACTACATCTACATATATATACTAAAACTGTCTAATAAAGGAAATAACTACCTATCTTAATTATTTCCTAACATTTAAGAAACAGAATCATATGAGAATTTTTTTTCATAAAAATTAGGAAATATAATCATAGGATAATATCACAATCAATCTCTCCTTTTATTCCTAAAAATATTTTCCCAAAATAAATTCCCTAATTAGGAAACATAATCATAGGATAAGATCACAATCTATCTTTCCAAAAAAAATATTTTCCTAGAATAAATTTCCTAACTTTTGACTTTCAAATATTCAACACATCATTATTATTAATTTGTCCCAATTATATCAGGTAAATCCTATAAATCATCTTTCTCCATTCCTTTATAATTTAAGGTTGCTTGAGGTGTTAATCTATCTTTTATAAATCTTCTTGCACAACTTCTCTTCCATTACTCGTCAGACTACCTTTTGTCTTTTTAATTCTTTCACATTATCATCTATGTATCATTGCCCTTTGTTGTGCGTGAACAAGCCATCCAAGTCCTCACATTCATTAACACTCTAATTTTGGCTTGTGCAATTTTATGGCGAAGGACAATAATTTCTTTATAGCCTAACATTTGAATCTATATAAATAGTCGGTGTAATTACAATTTGTAAAAAAACCTAATTTTAAGCCTCCAAAATTTTATATTAAACCAAAGTATGACTTACACACTACTCACATCATTGTTAGTCCATCCACTCCCTCTTTACACAAAACTAAAACAAACCTCATTCTCATGGCAGCCCCAATCAATTCAAACATTTTTATTTTAAATATGTTTACAAAAACGTAAACTTAGAGGTGAGGACTTTACAAAATTAATATGATTGCTTGTACCCAAGTGTCAAATTGCAAGGGCTTTTTTCAAACTTTTACACCTAGCAGTTATCTTGAGTTCTACAACAATAAAACATCCAAGGATGCATGCAATTTTCTTTTTAGTGGGTCAAAGTGATGCCATGTAGTTGAAACATGGTGAACAATAATCAGATAGATGCATAGAGTAAAAAAAGGCTGCTAGTAAGAGTTTCAAGCAGAAAAAAATGTAATACCTTTAATAGGATCCTCAGAAGAATACCACTCTGCCCAAGGACAATCATCATCCCATTGTTTCTTAATATGATTAAACTCAATTGCATCTCCTTTTCTTTCTCTGTTAATGTGATCCTGACTCTCAGCATCATCATCAGCATATGGAGTTCTGTAGGTTAGTCTCATTGTAGAACGAACACTGAAACAATTCGTAGAGAAATCTACGGCTGTTAAGGCCTGAGGAAACAAAAATCCAAAACATTTAAAATTTGTAAGCTACGCCAAAAGTTCTACTAATAGCCCATATAAAAGCTTCGCCTGAACATTCTATGGTATCGTTAGGACTATCTGATAAAAAGTTCTTTTGCTCCAGAATAAATGCGTGTTGTCCATACTTAATATTGAACAAATTGAAGTGAAGAAGCATCATGCTATCTACATTCACAAATATGCTCATTTCGTATCATAACTCTAAGAGAAAGCCACTCATCCACCTGAGCATCCTCATCTCTGCAACACTTAACTTAATATTATGCTTCTCTTTTAATGGCCAACATTCTGCTCCATAAAGCATTGCAGATCTCACCACCATCTTATAGAATTTTCCCTTAAGTTTGAGGGGGACTTTTCCATCACACAACAAACCTGATGCATTCCTCAACTTCAACCATCCAACTTCAATTCTACTAATAATATCCTCATCTATTTCACTATCACTCTGGACAATAGACCCAATATATCTCAAGGTTTAAAATTGCGTAAATAAGCCTCGAGGCGTTTTTCGTCCGTGAGGCGAGGCATAAGCCTCGAGGCGGTGTGAGGCGTAAGACTCACGGACACAGAATTGCGTAAATGAGAATTTAAGGGTTTTAGCGAGTAAATAATAGCAAGATTCTATCATACAATAAAAACATCTAAATGACAAGTGGAAGTAGTGGAAATTAAGAAAAGGTACAATAAAATCATGTTCCAAAGTACAAAACCACAAAATTATAGTCTATCAAAACTCCCAAAGTACAAATAAAAAGGAACACATAATTCAATCATGTCCCATCACTAAATGGTTCTTCTAGGTAATCTTTATCTCCAACTGTATCTATGAATGTCATATCTTCATCATCTTCAATGTGACTGACTTTTCTCTTCCCTATTCAATAAGAATGATCATTATTATGTTACTTGCTCACTTGATATAAATATAATGTAATAACATATAAGAAGTTGTAGAATACCTTTATTTGGATGTTGTGCTGCAGAGCTAGTAGATGTGTGTGGTGTGGTACTAGTGGATGTGCCCACTTGATCTGCTTCGCCCCTCAAGACATCCACACTTAGATCCTCAAGTTGCAAGTATGATAATGACAAATCTATCTCATCATCTATGAACCACTCATTATCAAATGCCACATTATCATACACCAAAAGGTCCTCATCATCCTTCAACCCCTTATTTCTCAACCTCCTTTCTCTCAACCTCTTATTGTGCATATTGGTCCATAAGACCCCGCACACCTCTACTATGTATAGTGGAGGAAGAGCCCTTTCCACTCTCGCTCCCAAAGTAAGCACCATGTTCGACCCTTTCATCAAATTGCTCTTGTTGTAAATGTTTGGCCGTCGTACTCTTTTTCATATAAGCTGTAATTTCCTCCTTCACGTTATCCGGAATATTCGCACAAAGTGCTACATTCTTATGTGAGCCGGATAAGTGTTCCTTCATGCGAGATACTCCTCCCTTCATCACCTTCTCACAAAAATTGCATTTTAAATACACATGTCTTCTCGCCGCCTCCAACATCAACTTGTACATTGTATTTCCAAGAAGGGTCACCCCGCAATGACGTATTTGTCTTTTCCTTTCCCCTAACCATGTTTCCTAATGCACAAATGCGAAAACATACAAAAAATCTCAAAAAATAGACAATCTTATATTTTCTATAACTTGAAAACTTTCCTTAAACTTAAAAAAAAAAAATACCTAAAACCTATAATGGAGTGCTTGTAGAGGGCGGTCGAACCCTTCTTGCTCACCGGCGTGAGGTGTCGCCGGCGGGAGAGGCGGTAGACAGCAAATCAAGCCGAGCCGAGTGGAAGTTTTGTGAACGGAAATGGCTTTGCGGAAGGATTTTCGTTCGGTTCACTAGAACCGGATGGTATAACAGGAGAAACAAGTCATTTTAAGTAGGTGGGACCTAGTTTACAGAGGCGTGCGCCTCACATGACATTGCGCAATAGGGCCATAGAGGCACGCCTCTTAACCTGTGAGGCGTACGCCTCACCTGGAGCCAAAATTGCATAGGCATTGAGGCGCTTGAGGGCTGAATTGCGCAAAAGCGCACCTCTAATTGCGCAATTTTAAATATGATATATCTAAAATATGTACTCTTATTAATGACTTGATTGCCCAAAGTCAAAATCCCCCCACTAGATCTATCACTACTAAAATTGCACTCCATATATTCAGTTTTAGATCTACTCAAATGAAAATCTTTAAACTCTAAGGTTGACCTCCATAACTCAAGTTTAACTTCAACTCCCTTCGTAGTCTTATCAACTAAAAGAATATCATTAGAAAAAATTATACACCATGGTACAACTTATTGCAAATGTCTAGTGAGAACATCCATGACTAAATCAAAAAAAGATATGTGATTAAGGCTGATCCTTGATGCAATCCACCAGAAATAGAATAATACTTGGTCAAACTACCATGTGTTTGAACACAAGTAACAGGTCCTGCATACATATCCTTAATAACTTGAATATAAATATTATTAATCCATTTTTTTTTCTAGAACTCTCCATAACGCTTCTCTTGGAACTTTATCATATGGTTTCTCTAAATCAATAAATATCATAAGCAGATCCTCATTATTCTCTCTATACTTCTCCATCAAAGCTCTCAATAAATGTATAGCTTCCATAACAGACCTACTCGGCATGAATCCAAATTGATTTTGAGAAATATTAGTATCACGTCGTAATCTATACTCTTTAACTCTCTCCCATATTTTTAAAGTATAACACAATAACTTAATTCCTCTATAATTTGCACAATCTTGTGTATCACATTTATTCTTAAAAATAGGAATCAACACACTCAATCATCATCAATGAAAATAAGTTACAGAGTTTATTATATTATCTTAGTTATAATCAACACGCTCAATCATCATCAATGAAAATAAGTTACAAAATTTATTATAGTATCTTAGTTATAATTTATAAATAAATAAAATAGGTTAAAAATTAATTACTTCAAAATTTTCATATATTTTCACATTTATTCTCATATTATTTTTTTAGCTTTTTCTAAATCTTATGGAAATTTATAAGCCACGTCTTTAATTGTGACTCTACTTGGTGCAGTTTAATTTAATAATAAAATTTAGATAATATAAGAGAAAGAAATAGAATAGCAATGATAATATATTGTTTTATAATAAAAAACAATAGTTTTTCATTTGTTGAAATTCTTTCGTGATATGATTGACAGTGATAGGAGGTGAATATAAATTAGTTTTATCTCTTTTCATGTGAATGACAAAGATCCAAATATCTATAAGCTGATCAATACATAATAATTCCAGAGAAAAGTCAATATGCACATAAATATCTCAAGTACCGTTGTACAAAAACTTTTAAACTGTTTCAACAAAAGGAAAAGCCTCCATCCTTCACTAATGAGTGGACAAAAAGACACGAAATAACATTTTAAATAAGCACTCACAAATTTTGAGACAAATAGCTCGTAGAGCCCCTCCAAGTGCAAAAGCCTAACCGGAACTTGGCTGCCGATTCTGTCAGAATCAAACCTTCGAGTAAAGGTCGTACCCATATTCTGAATCCCGATATATGCCTTTCGAGAAGGATCATGTACCGGAACAAATGCAGGCCAGTTACTGCAGTATAAAAGAAAGGGGCAAATTAAACCAAAAAAGAAAACGATGAAAATGACTGTATATGTGAAAAAAAATTGTACCCTTATGAAGCCAAGTGTTTTGGTCAAATATAAATATGGAAACAAAATCAAATGAACAACGGTATTAGGATCACTAGTTTTAGCTATATTTACACAATAAACAACATTAACAAAAAAAACCCTTAAAAATACAAGCTGCAGTAACCATACCGAAACAAGATAATGAATTATGGACATGAAATTCATATCAACCAAGGCCACAAACGCATCAGAATTCGTACTTCAACAAATCAACCAATAATTTTTCAGATATTAAAAGGAATTTATAATTATTTTCTTTTTTTTTTTCGAAATTTAAGCATTTTAGCCATTTTGGTATTGTTCATCATTACAAAATATTCAATTCAACTTCGTTACCCACAAGATAGCCCCAACTAGCGATCTGAGTTTAATGATATCATCAAGAGCTGAGTGGATGACACAAGACTTACAGGGTTTAGGGTTCACCAATGCCAATGAAACATATAAAATATCAAAATTCACATTTTTCCAATTTTTTATTCATGTAAATATTAATTGCTTTCGATGCAGATATTCATTTTAACTGATAATATAAAATATGAAATTCTAAGAGAAATTTTTTGGAAAAAATAGCATTCCATATCAATTAAGATACACAACCATAAAACAAAAACGGGCCTGTAACTGACCAAATCTCAATCACACTCACAAACAAATAACAAAAAAGAAACGGTCAACTCACTCAAACAAATAAGACAAAAACAACACAACGGAAAGACATCACTGAAGTGTGAATCCATGCTCCAAGCCGTTACAAGGAGAATCCTCCTCCAAAAGTTGTCAAAATTTACAACACGCTAAAAAAATCAACATCCAACAGCACACACAACTACAAAGAGAAAAATAAAAACTTTATTCAACCATAAATTAAATTATACATTTCGAAGTGTCTCCTATATAAAATTAAAAAAGAAAAGGGATAATAGATAGCAGCAGAAAGGAACTCAATACCACAATTCCAACAACACTTGTAAAAGACAGCTCATTCATCCAAGGACCCAATCTCCACCATAGTGCAGAGACCAAAACTAGGAACTGCACCAACAAAGGCTCGACTCTAGTTAAAACTAATAAGCAACAAAAAAAAAGTCAACAACAGAAAACTTCTAGAATCAGTGGTTGGATAGGAACAGTGGATCAAAAATACTAAACTTAGAAATCCGAACATAGCTGAATTGAAACACTTGCAAGAATAACCAAACCCATCAAGATAATAAAAAACAGTATAGAACACTGATAGGAAATACTTGAGATCACAAGTAACCCTAGGGGAAATACTTGAGTTCGCAAGCAAACCTAACCACAATTGGTGAAAACAGGGAACAAAAATGTTGTTTGCAGCAGAAAATCAGCAAACGAACAGCAGATTTCTTGGGGAAAACAGTAGAAAACTGAAAACGAAGGATTCCACTAGTAGATGCAGTAAAATAGAAAAAGATATAAGTTTCTTCAATTTCAAAGGAAGAAACAACTCTCCAATTCTCTAGCCAAGCCTAGAACCCAAGAACACCAACCCTAGATCTCAAATTCCTTTCAAATTCAAGATGAAACATTAATTCTATCATTAGCCCCTAATTAAAGTAAAAGGAGACATACAAAATCCCTAAACAACCCTCTAATTCAAATTTCCCTCCTAAACACCCATTAACATTAATTGCTAGGCCATCCGCCCCCCCTCTCTTGGTTCTGCCCTCCCCCTAGGTCGGCGGCAGTACATCTGAACCGGTTCAGGTTGGACCAATTCAGCCGGCCTAACATTACTCCCCTCTCAAAGACTCACCTTGTCCTCAAGGTGAAAAGAAGGAAACTGGAGCATCACTCTCTCATATGGCTCCCAAGTGGCATCAAAATCGGGAAGGTCCCTCCATCTGATCAGCATTTCTTTATTCCCTTTTTTATCCAATCAGACTCCCCTCAACTCCAATAGTTCTAAAATCACTTCCAAGTCCTCTGTTAGTGTGATTGACAACTCTACATAAACTGTATGCTCCCCTAAAGCTCTTCTCAACTATGATACATGGAAAACTGGGTGTATGGTGGCGGATGGGGGTAACTTCAAATGATACACCACCGCTCTAATCTTATCCAAAATCTTATAGGGTCCAAAATACCTCGGAGCCAGTTTCTCATTTCTCTTGTTGGCGACTGATCTCTGTCTGTACGGCCTTAGTTTCAAGAATACTTTCTCCCCCACCTCAAATTGTATGTCCCTCCTATGTCTATCTGTCTGCTTCTTCATGATTTGTTGTGCCCTGAACAGGTGTCTCTTCAATTCCACCAACACCTTGTCCCTTTCCTCTAGGTACTGCTCAGCTGAATAAACTGGTGTGTTCCCTCTCCCAAAATGCACTAAGTATGGGGGGTCTCTTCCATACAATATTTTAAAAGGGGTCATCTGAGATGCAGAATGGTACAAAGTATTATACCAATACTCTGCCCATGCTAATCATTTAGCCCACAGCCGTGGCTTTTTAGAAACAAAACACATCAAATAAGTCTCTAACTGCGGTTCACCACCTCTGTTTGACCGTCTGTCTGCGGATGATAGGCAATGCTTCTCTTAAGAATAGTGCCCTGCAATCTAAACAACTCCCTCCAAAACTGACTGAGGAAAACATTGTCTCGATCAGACACTATCGACTCAGGAATCCCATGCAGTCGAACCACTTCCCTGATGAAGGTTGTTGTCACTGTCACTACGGTATAGAGATGTCGTAAGGGAATGAAATGTGTATACTTACTCAGTCTATCCACCACCACCATGATGACTGTGAATCCTTCTGATCATGGTAGGCCGTCTATGAAGTCCATGGACACTTCCTCCCGTACTCTGTTAGGAAGTGTCAAGGGTTGTAGCAGTCCCCCTGGAGCCATTGTCATATATTTGTTTCTCTAGCACACTTCGTACCTCGCCACCATCTCCTCAACATCTTTATGCATTCCCTTCCAGTAAAGCTCATATGTCAGCCTTCTATAGGTCTTATGTACTCCTGAATGTCCTCCCACTGCACTGCCATGGAACTCCTGTAGCAAGTGACGAATATGTATGGATGTTCGTGGCATCACAAACCTCCCTTGATACAACAGCCTCCCTCCCTCCCTCCATATAGTAACTAGAATGGCTACAATTATCTCTCATCAAATCCTCTCTGATCTTTATCAACTCTTTGTTCTGCAAACTTTCTTCCTTGATGGCTCCCCAGCCTACCATTAGTGGCGTTGAAACAGATAGCTCCTTAAGTTCCCCCATGCATCTAAATAAGACATCATCCGCCTTATTTTCCACCCCAGGCTGTACTGAATCTCAAAATCGTAGCCCAAAAGTTTGGACAACCATCTCTGATGCTCCTCAGTCACTATCCTTTGCTCCAAAAGATACTTCAAGCTCCTCTGATCCGTCCAGACAATGAAATGCCTACCCAATAGGTAAGGGTGCCACTTCTGAATAGCTAAGACAATGGTCATCAACTCCCTCTCATATACTGACTTCAATCTCGCTCGGGTTGATAGCACTTGGCAGAAATATGCTATAGGCATGTGATTCTATATCAGCACTGCCACCGAATCATATCCTAATGCATCGATCTCCACTACAAAGATCTGGTTGAAGTCCAAAAAAGCTAAAACTGGAACTGTCATCATGGCTTTTTTTCAATCTCTCAAAAGCCTAGGCTGTTGCCTCTCTCCACAAAAAGTTATCCTTTAGTTGCTCGGTTAAGGGCCATGTTATGGTATTGTACCCCCTCACAAATCTCCTGTAGTACATAGTCAATCCGAGGATTACCACTCAACTCCCTTATGTTCGTAGGCATAGGCCATTTATGCATTGCCTCAATTTTTGTTTCATCGGCCGTCACTCCTTTCTGGGAGACTACATGTCCCAAATACTCCACACTAGTCTAGGCGAAGCTGCACTTCTTTAGGTTGGCCCTCAGCTGATGTGCTAGTAGAATTTTAAGAACCTCCTTCAAGTGCTCCAAATGCTCCACCCTCTATTTTGTTGTACACCAGAATGACATCAAAAAATACCAGCACAAACTTCCTGAGATACTGTCAGAACACCCTATTCATCAAAGACTGGAAAGTAGCAAGGGGGTTAGTGAGCCCAAATGGCATCACCAAGAAATCGTAGTGCCCCTCGTGCGTCCTGAAGGCCGTCTTTTGAATATCATCCTCCATCCAGATTTGAAGGTAGCTCGACTTCAAATCCATCTTAGAAAACAATACGGCTCCATGCAGCTCATCTAATAACTCATCAATCACAGGAATGGAGAATTTATCTGGTATCATCTCCTTGTTCAAGACCCTGTAATCCACGCAAAACCTCTAGCTCGCATCCTTCTTTTTGACCAATAAGACTGGACTAGAAAAAGGACTCACACTCGGTCTAACGATCCCTGCATCCAGCATCTCCCAAATTAGTTTCTCAATCTCATCTTTCTGAATTTGGGCGTAGTGATAAGGCCGAACACTAATTGGTGACACCCATCCTTCAGAATGATTGCATGCTCCCGCTCTCTCGGTGATGGTAAGCCCTGAGGTAGTTGGAACATCTCACTGTACAGCTGTATGAGGGTTTGTACCACCATGGGAATGTCTCCCTCTTCCCCCACACTGACCCTCTCCAAGCATTGCAGCTCCAAATACCCACCTCATGTATGGATCTGATCATGGATTTGAAAGATACTTTGGCCCTAGACAACCCTGCGTCACCCTGGATCACCATCCTCTTTCCTCCCACCATCAGTTCTATTCTCAGAGCACCCCAATTGACCTTGTTATCCCCTAAGGTCTGCAGTCATTTCATCCCCAGGATGACATCGGTACTTCCCAACTCCAAGGAAAGAAAATCCTCCCTCACCTGTATCCCTTAAATAGTCAACACCACTCTCCTGCAAA